TTGGAAGTCCAAACAACATCTTCTCCTTTAATCTAAGCCATTTTTTACCATACTATTAACCATTTGATTTATAAAACTTTCATATCTATATATGTATTGGAAAATTGTTACATGAGTTTGGGGGCGCATTTTTACATTAGCATCCCCGAGGTACAGAGCATATTTTGCCAAGAGAGATGCAAAATGGGCAGTCCATCTAAAGAAAAGTAAAAACTAATGGTTCAAATGTTTTTTTATAAAATTTTTATTTTTATTTTTATTTTTAAAATTTAGTTATTTTTGCATATTCATGATCCCCATAATAGATATTATACGTCCATAAAAATTGAGTTAAAAAATCCATGTCAAAAATAAATTTTTAAGGGGGGACTCATTTCTACAGGGACTCATAGAAACCGCGTCCGTATGTATTTTGATCTGTCAACACATGTCCACTCAAGAAAGAGTTGAGAAGTCTATTATATCTACAGTATAGTGCAGAAACTCCATTGGACACCCAAGGATTACTTTTTAGCAATGGTTTAAAAAACGGATAGGTGACTCGGATCGGGCACTTCAAAAATCGATTCGGACCGGCGAATCGGCGATCCGGATCGGGAATTGGCTGAATCGGTCGGATTAAAGCTTCAAAAAAATCCGAAAAAATTATTAAAATTCATTATAAATGTTGTTTTTTAGGAATCCAATAAAAAATGAGGGTACTACATTATTAACTTTCATTTTTTTTATCAATTTGTGAATATTGAGATGTTCTTTCCCTGTATAAATTTATTTTAACTATTAAATTTGCATCACATAAAAGAAAAATCATAGAATTATCATGGATAAAATATATAATTATATATGGACTATTATAAAGAGTAGACTAATCAATGAAAGAATGGCCATTAAAATCTCGTTTATGCGAAAAACCCTAACCCGCTAAAAAAACCCAAACTATTACAGTCTAACTAACTATAATCCAAAATTATTACAACCTCACTAATTATAATATTATATATTGAAATTCTAATTATTAGTTTATATTTTATAATTATTTTATTCGACAAATAATAACAAATTAAAAATATTTTATAATATTATCTAATTTAAAATGTATTATTGACAACTGTAAGAAAAATAGTACATTACATGATTTATAATGTAAAAATTCATAAATAAAATAAAATATTTAGTTATCAATGTAAAAATTAATAAAATACGTACAAATTTTGGAAATAACACTTCAATTTTTCAAAAATTTATTTTTTTAGGTTTCTATAATAAATTTAGTAAAAGAGATTGTTAGTAGAAAGATGGAGATTTCAAATAGAATAAAATTTTTATTTTTATTTTTGTTTATACCTTTCATATTATTTACAAAAATAATTATACCACTATATATAACAAAAATTAACGGTTATATAAAAAATTAATTTTTTTATTTTTCATTTTTTTATATCATTTATATTATTTATAAAAATATTTATATTTATATCAACCACTATATACACAACAAAAATATTTATATTTATACCAACCACTATATATACAAAAAAAATGCAACACATGCCCAAGGGGATTCGAAAACAACAAAAATATTTATACCAACCACTACCTCAAGTAAAAAATTCAAAGTCATAACCATCAAGCCATCTAACTATATGTGATTATAAATTGCTAATTAATAGACTATATTTACATTTTGTTTTCATTTAATAATGTTTGGGAATTATCCCACATCGAAAGATGGGTATTCAAATTTGGTATATAAATACCTATGCAATATGAGTTATAAAATGAGTATAAAAATATTAAGACAACCTCGCATGTGCATTTAGACACACGTGTGCGCGTGTGAGTGTGCGTGGGGGCATGCATGCACCTGCGCTCGGATACACGTGTGCACGTGTGAGTGTGCGTGGGGCTCGCTCGCACGTGCGCTCGGACACACGTGTGTGCATGTGAGTGTGCGTGAGCTCTCGGACACACGTGTGCGCATGTGAGTGTGTGTGGGGCATGCTCACACGTGCGTGTCATGTGCTACGTGTGTGAACCGGGCTGAACCGGATGGGAACCGGCGGTTCCACTCTAGAACCAGTCTGAACCGGATGGCAACCGGAGGTTTCACTCTAGAGTCGGGCTGAACCGGATGGGAACCGGCAGTTCCACTCTAGACCTGGGCTGAACCGGATGGGAACCGGCGGTTCCGCTCTAGAACCGGGCGGTTCTCGTTTTTCGGTTGGAACCGGCACGGGCACGCGTGTTTCCGAGTCGAACCGGGCGAATCGCCGTTTTTTAAAACACTATTTTTTAGTGATTTACTCTTTTTTTTATTCTAAAATAATCACAAGAAAGAACAAAGACATTAAAATAAAGCAACTTTTCCTGCTAAAAGCTTGAGGGAAACTTCAATATTTTCCATGACAGGCGACTAGATAGGTCAATTTAAGTACAATGAAATGCCAAAGCATTCAACGGCAGCAATTGTTTTTAAATATGGTTCAATTTTTTCAGAAAAAACATTGTCATTCTTCTTAAAAACCTCTTTTATTTTGGATAAAATTACAAACTCAAAAAATAATGGCATTTCAATACAACGAACTTTATACATTTAGTGGTTATATATCTTGAGGAGAAGTATATAATACGATAGGTAAGGGTCATGGGTGTAGATTATGAAGTTGAACAGCTAGGGATGTACCATTGATCAGGCATCTTTATTATCAACATAGCCTTTTTTTAATTATTTTGGGCCGGTTTAATATTGTGTGATCCTATCCAAGTTGTCTGACTTAACATCTCGCAGATAGAAATGATTGTGCCTACTCGTAATAAAGTAAATAGTTTCCTTTAGTGATTTAAAAAATACCAGGTTGGTATGGAATCATTCGGTCTGATTCGGGAATCGATCATTTTGTTCCAATTCTGTGTATATATAAGAAAAACAACTGAGATTAGACGGGAACCGATGGTTCCCCACAGCACAATAACGATCTGGAACATCGATTCACTGATCCAAACCAGTGTTTTGCTGCTTTACTATTTTTTCACATGTTTTTACACTGATTTACTATTTTTTCTGCAAGGTAAAATAGCGATACAGTCTGTCGATTCACCAATCGGAACTGATTTTTGGGGTACCTGATCTAGGATCCAAGTCACTTATCCTTTTTTTAAATCACAGGTTTCCTTATACACATATCCTAATTCATGGATATACAAAAAATAAATTTTTAAGCTATTAGAGAATAGATTTATTAATTTACATTCAAAAAATACAAAGAGTTCCTAAATATCTCAACGAATTTTCGCCCTCCAATCGGGCCTCTCAGTAACATCGTGCGCCGGTATTCTTAGTAAGCCAATCATTAACATCGTGCGCCCGCATTGGTAATTGGTGGAGCCGGCTTCATTGAAAGCCGATATCGGCTCAGCACAACGGCTAGGATCTGAAGTCGAGCTGAGGGTCGAGAATGATTGGTGGAGAACAATCTGACCACGAAAAAATCGCCACGTGGTAGAGTAGGTGACAAAATTCATTCCCGTCTAACTAACTAAACTCGACACCCGCTTCTTTTTCCCTCCCACCACGAAAAAACGGGGTCAGAGAGAGAGAAAGAGGTTCACGTTTAGAGAGAGAAAATCACGGGAGTAGAGAGAGAGAGAGGAGGGGAATATAGAGAGAGAAGAAAATAAAAAGTTGCCCTCTGCAAAGATAAGGAATCCCTGATCTTACAACAAACCTCGTTTGCCGGATTAGGCTTCTCAAAGGATTGGATTGTTGAATCTAGACCGATCTGAATTGTCCATTCTAATGTGAATGGTTAAAATAATAATAATAATAATAATTGAGAATTGGAGATTTGGCTGATTGAATTGCTTAATTCGCTAACAGACTCTCCTGTTCACAGATCAGGATTGTGATTTTAACAAAATGTGATCATGTTAAAATCATATCAATTATTAGTTTTGTCTAGAAACGATGTCGATCCACATTGGGGATTGAAAATTGCCAATCCAGACTTGAGTATTGGTTGGGATTGAGCCTATTCCAAGAAGGTATTGATCTCAGCCCAGTTCTCCACTTAAAACCCTTTATTTATATTTCTTTGTCTTTTTTGTTAGAATATATATATATATATATATTATCAGATATATTTTTCAACTATTTGATATTGATTACATGAATTCTAATATGTCATTTTCTTTTATCAAAGGCTAAATTTTTAGTGAAGCCATAAATCTTTTTATCTTTTAAAAATATAATATAATAAATTTTTTTTTTGAAAAATATAATATAACTTATTTTTTTTTGTACAAAGAAGTTACAATTATTATTGACTATTAAATGTAAAATTTGATAGCATAGAGTTTGATTAAGCACAAAATCCAAAAAAAAAATCAAACTATGTGGCACCATTTAAGCTATCGAATTTCGTACTTGAAGGCTCATGACCTCTTTATACGAAAATTACATGGTGATATAGTGTACAATCTTTTTAGATTTTCTAATGAGGTCTTGATTCCCTTCTAAATCTCACCTTTATTATTTTATTTTTTAATATTTTATGGATGACCAATCGGACTAATCTGAGTTGTTGATCCAATAGTCTGAAACTCATCTTTATTATTCTTTTTTTTTAATATTTTATGGATCACCGATCAGACAAATTTGAATTGTTGATCCAATAGTCGGACACTCACCTTTATTATTCTATTTTTTAATATTTTATGGATCAAGTATAGGATTAATCTGAATTGTTGATCCAATTGTCTGACGGAGACATGTAGCGTAGATGATCCACCCACGCAATCTGGATTTTGAAGCACACCCATTCGAAAGATGATTCCCTATCCATATCAGCCATTTTTCTAAAACAGTTTTATAAGATGGGACTAAATGGAGATATCAAGAATAGAAGTGCCTATTTAGGAGACAAGGAGGAAAAAAAATCAGGGAATAATTTAATTGTTTGATGGAGGGTTTGAGAGTGCTTTAAATAGCTTTGCCCACCACCAACTCAACTCAACTCAACTCCTGTGCAAGGATTTCAAGCTCTGCAGACTGCCCTTTCGCGAATCTTCACGAAACAGCTGCATGTTTTAGAGAGAGAAAAACGACTTAAACGAGTTTTGGAGAGAGACTTTACAGAACTCTTATAGAGAGAGAGAGAGAGAGAGAGTTTGTTAGTAAGGTTTTCAGAAGCTTTTCCGAGAGAACATTCTCGTGAATTTTCTTGAATTCCCCAAAGCCTTATCTTAGAGAAAGAAACTCAGTTCGTAGGGTCGAAAACTCCTTCATTCTCTGCGCTTTTTTTTCCTAGAGAGAGAGTAAAGGATGACTGGTAAGTACCATCTCCCACTGTTTATTTGTAGAGAGAGAAAATGAAAGAGACTCTTCCTCTTTTCTTTTCTAGAGGCGAGCCAGTGCAGTGCATCTGATGCCACCTTGACACCTCATTTGTAGAGAGAGAGAGGGTATAACATTTTTAGAGAGAGAGGGTGTAGTGAAGTTTGGTTTTATTGGGTGCTACTTGCAGTAAACAGTCATCAGAGACCAGTGTAAAGAGAGAAGACTCGAGTTGGGTAGGCATCACTTAGAGAGAGAAACCAAAACCCAAGTTCATAGAGAGAGGACCCAAAACTAAATTCTAGAGAGAGGGGCCCAAAACCAAATTCTAGAGAGAGAAAAAGCACAAACCAGAATGGAAGACAGACCACCAGCCATGGCGAAGCGCCTGTGGAAAATAGTCCGCATCGTGCTCTTCATGCTCCGCAAGGGAGTATCGAAGCCGAAGCTCCTCCTGGACCTCAACCTTATGTTCGAGCGGGGCAAACTCGCCGGGAAGGCCGCCGGAAAAGCCACCGGGAAAGCTCTCGGCCACCTCGTCTTCTCCCGCCACCACACCCCCTACTTCACCTGCGGTCCCCACCTCCACCGCCATGTGTCGGTCCCCCTCCCCCGAGACTACGAGTTCTCGTGCCGGAACACGCCCGCGCCGAAGCGCAAGTCCCACCGCCACGTGTCCTTTCCCTGCATCTACACCCGGGTCTCGGACGATGACGTGCCGGTCACCGCCCTACAGCTACAGAAGGCACTGGAATTGCTCAACTCCGAATTTCCCGGCAAGGAGACGCCGGGAAATGACTTTTCCGGCGCCCTGAAACGGAGCCCGCTCATCGCGCTTACTGCCCCCTTCTCGCCGTTTCCTCTGAGAGTCACGGACTCGCCCTTCCCATTGATGGACGGTGATGACGACTGCCACGTGGACAGGGAGGCCGAGGAGTTCATCCGACGGTTCTACGAGGGGCTGCGTACCCAGGCCGGGAAAAGGGACGGGAAGTGAGATTCCGGGGGTCTGGGTCAGTTTCCCGGCCAGAATAACGCCCCGAACTTGGTTTTCCGGCGAGGTGATGGCCGCCGTGAAGCGGTTAAGGGTTTGATCATTTTGGCCGAAAAGAAAACGAAATGTTGCACGTTGGGGTTTGTACTTTTCTGATTGTTTCGAGTTTTCGGCAATGTTACAGCTTTATGAATGACCATGTCTCTCTATTTTATTTTGTCATTTTTTTTCTTTTTCTTGCAAGTCCCTGGCCGGAAAATTGATGTATAGCTTAGTTTTTTTTTTTCCCCTCGTATTGTTATTATTTTAGGTTTTTAGTTTTTTTTTTTTTTTTGTTAATAATATTGAGAATCTTAGATCGGTTGATTTGGATTTGAGGGTGTTGCTGTCCTTTTTTTTTCTTTTTTTCTTGTTCTCTTTTTTAAATTTTTAGCTTTATGCTGTTGGTTTTGTTAGCTTTTTGTGTGATAGTAAGCAAGTGGTTCAGGTTCTTACCTTTTTGCTTTTCTTTTTCTTTTTATTTTTCTCACTTTTCTTTCTCCCACTTTTGTTTGAATAAAATATAGAAGTTAGGTTTAAGTCTAGAAGTTGGGTTATAATTTCTTTTCCAAAAAAATTGTTATACTTATTTTGAGATCCTTGGATTGATGTTTGAGTTCTCCCACTTATTGCATGACAAGACAAAAAAAATGATTAGTTTTTAGTGTCTTTTTTTTTTTGTAATTTTGCTAAAAATATCATGGAATTTTGGGCTTTGTCTGTTGGTTCCTTTTTTGTTTCTCTATTTTTTTTTGGCTTTTCTCCATCTTATTGCCATGGAGAATCTTCATTTTGTTTTGTAGCCAGATGGGAACATGTAATCTTACTTTAGAAAGACATGTAAAAATGTAAATAGTATAATATAGTATCAAAACTTATAAGAAAGGCCTCTAGGTATTGTAAATAAAAGAAAATATGAAAATTTATAAGAAATTATCATCGTCATAGTTTTTTTTCAATTAATTATGGTCGGCTACATGAATTAAGCCGTCATTATGCGGTCATACTTTCAATGAATTTATAAGTGCTCAAATCTCAAAATCTTAAAATTTCTAGACAAAGTAAGTTGCTCTAATAGAAGTTGGCCATCCAATCAAATTATTTATAAATATGGATATTTGCTTATATTTTTACGGATTGTAGTAAAAAAAGATACGGTATTCTCATATTTACTTAAGAAGTTAGGCATGATCAAATCTCTATTTTTAATTTTTTTTTATTCTAGGATATTCATCAAAATGCATATTTGTGATTAACTAGTTAACACTTTACCCACTTAATTTAAAAAATCCCATCAAAATATATATGATTATAAGTTAGATTAGTTGAAGGGTTAAGGCTAAAATAGTTGAGTATGTTATTGGCTTCCCTAAACTCTATCACTTTCTAAAATTACACTCTCTCTAACTCTTAACACATTCTAAAATTACACTCTCTCTAACCTAACGCTTTCTAAAATTACACTCTCACTAAAACGCATTAATGTTAAACATAGTTTAGAAAGTACAACTCGAAGCGAGTAGTTAGTCATGTTGTGCACGGAAGTTTTAAATCAGATGGGTTAATATTTGACAAATAAAGTATGAGAAATAAAACATGAAATACATATCACATAAACACAAATATTTACGCGGTTCACTCTAAAAGGGCTACATTCACAGGCATAACAAACTTAAATCCACTATACCAATTAAAGTTACACTAAAGATTTTGGAACATAGAGGTATTTCTTCAAACCTCAACAAAAATTCAAGTCGAGCAAACCCTTTTAAACAATTTTCAATTCATTCTCTGTACGTCTGACAACTATTACCGACAACACCAAATAGAGACGCAACAGCAACGAGAAACCGACATTCTTTCTAACTAAAAAAGGAAACAACTCAAAATCTCCATGGAACTGCTTCTCTACAATAAACAAATCTCTCAATCTTTAGGAGTTAACAAGATGCATCATCAATGTTTCTCTTCATAGGAAGCTCTCTTTTCTCTAAGAAGAAACCTTGCATTTTATGCACAGGAGACCCCACATCCCCCTCTCTCTCTAAAGGAAACCACATTTCCCATATACAGCACACAAATTCTCTACACTATCATCTCATATATATAAAGTTAGGAATCTACACTAAATAGAAAACTTCCCGTAGATATACATATATCTCAAAAGACTAAAAGATATATTCAAGAGTCCTAATTCTTTTTGGATTTATATTTAATCTCAATATCACATAACAAGAAAATATTTCAATCCCACATAATATGGGAATATTTCAATCTCATATAATATGGAATATCTTATGTGGGTGATTTTGAATAACACAAAATCTAACAATCTCTATCTTGATATCAAAATCACCTGCTCATTATGCTAACATTATTGGATAGCTTCATAAATTCTTCATCTTTTGCCAAACAAATTCCATCATCAATATTGTTGAAAAATAATATTTGTCATCAAATTTTCTACCTCGAACTTTGCATTCGAAACCTTTACCGCCATACTGATAACCCCAAACCTGGCTCTGATACCACTTATTGTGCACAAAAACTCTAAACCCGATGGTTAATATTTGGCAAATAAAATATGAGAAATAAAATACGAAGAACACAAATACTTATGTGGTTCACTCCAAAAGGGTTACATCTATAGGCATGGCAAACTAAAATCCATTATACCAATTAAAGTTACATCAAAGATTTGGAAGATGGAGTTATCTCTCTAAACCTCGATAAAAACTCAAGTCGAGCAAACCCTTTTAAACAATTTTCACTTCATTCTCTTTACTTCTGGCAACCATTACCGGCAATACCAAATAAAGATGCGAGAGCAACGAGAAACCGACATTCTCTCTAACTAAAAGGGGAAACAATTCAAAATCTCCATGGAACTGCTTCTCTACAATAAACAAGTCTCTCAATCTTCAGGAGTCGACAAGAGGCATCATCAATGTTTTTCTTCATAGGAAGTTATCTTCTCTCTAAGATGAAACCTTGCATCTTATGCACAGGAAGCCCTGCCTCCCTATCTTTCTAAAGGAAACCACATTTCCTATATGATCAAAATAGGACACACAAATTCTCTGCACTTTCATCTTATATATATAAGGTTATGAATCCACACTAAATAGAAAACTTCTTATAAATCTTACATATATCTCAAAAGACTAAACGATATATCCAAGAGTCCTAATCCTTTTTGGATTTATATTTCTTTTAAGAAACTTATCAATATCAATCTTAATCTCACATAATAAAGAAATATAATATCTTAATCTTACATAATATGGGAATATCTTAATCCCACATAATATGGAATTTCCTTATGTGGGTGATTTTGGATAGCATCAAATCCAACAGGTCTTGCTCCGAGCCGATTGCTAGGGCCGAGTCTGAGTAACTTGACTAATTAGTTCTAAGAACGGTAGCAGCAAAAAAAAGTTAAAAAACTTATAAAAAATAAATTCAAATCTTTGTCAAAATGATAGAAAACATAAAAATACACATCTCAAATAAATTCCCAATTCATTAAAAAAATATTGATTTTTTAAAATATCCTCGAGTTGGATACCTAACACAGGACAACTCAGGCTTGGCAAAGGCCAGAACCCGAGTAACTCGTCTAAGTAGAACTACTTAGCCGATTTTGCGAACACTGATTAAACGCATTTTTTATCATTTGTTACGAGAAAACAAAGTAATTGCTTGGACAGGTAATGCGAAATACTTATGCAATGCAGTACACATCATAGTTATCAAGATTGGACCGAATGGTAGTCCAATCAATCAAACGGCATACCGATGCCTTGACTAGTCATGTTTGACGTGAAAATTGTGTTTGATAAAAAACTGCTCCAAACTAATGTTTGACTAGTTTTGGCCGATCAAACCAATTAGTTTTAATCGATTCGACTATCTAAATGAAATTAAGTAAATTTATTATATATTTTATATATTAAATTATTGTATCTATTTTTTTTCTTTTTTTAAAATCGAAACTAACTGGTTTAACTAATGGTTAGACCGGTGACCAATCCGAATAAGTTTGTTTGCAAATTTGGCCTCTTCTTTTGGCCCGATCCATCAAAGACTTTTTCTTTCCATAAATTACATGTTGTTAAGACTTAAAGAGTATGGTTGCCGAATCAGAAAATAACACTGCCAAATTCAAGTGAGTAATCGCAGTAACGGACCCGCCAAATTCAAGGAGGTTAAACTTGGAGTGTGAAGGTCCACACTTGAGGCAGCCTAGGACGACGGTGAAATGCAAGGAAAAGGAAAAATATAGAATAAGATTATTCATCTTTGGAACAAAGAAATCACAATTACTAGTTGCAGCTAATTTAAAATTGAACAATTGTGGCACTCACAAAGCACAAAGTTATAAAGAAAATTGATCAGTCTTTGGCTTTAGGATTTGACATATGATGATTTAGAGTGATCGTGATCAGTGTAGGAAAAATTGAATCAGAACGGTTAATCGAGGGCTCAAAGCGATTCAATCGGTCTAACTGGTAAACCAACTGGTTCAACTGACCTAACCGGCAGGTCCCCGTAGTAAAAAAAGTGTTTCAAAAGTAAAATAATACAAAAATATATATAATAAAATATGAAAAATATACTTAAAAGCATGATTAAATAAAGTACATCCAAATAAAATTGAAAATTAATGAAAAAATAGATTTTAAAGAAAGGTGGGAATTTGTGCTTTTTTAAAATTTCAAAAAGGTGGGAATTGTAAAAATAAGTATTAATGGGCAAAACAATTTCCAATCTTTGTCGAAATGATGAAAAACACTAAAAGAAATACATTACAAACAAAATCTCTTATTTTTTGGGATTTTATATAATTTTTTTAAATACCCAGCCTGTTCATTAAAACCGGCCGAAATCGGAACCGGCCTTTTCTGATCAAACTAAGCGGTTAGAATTTGAACTACCCAATTTTTCCTATTGTGACCTCTTTGTACCAAAGAAAAATATTCTTAATAGTATATGATCCCAAAGAAATATTGTTCTCATGTTTCGAGGTAATTTTAATGGGGCTTTCTCAAAATAATATTTGCCTCCCAACAAGACCAATTTCGATTTATACTAAGGAACTCCAATAAATTTGTCCTTGGTCTCATACTCATTAAATGCACACAAATAAAAAGAACCCAAACGACCATGGCTCTACCATCTCT